GAATATTCATTTTTATTTGCTCCTGGTGGTTTTGACAAAATTTAACCTTTTTTTTGAAAAGTTTCCTCGATTCCACCATATCACTATAAACAGTTCCTATCCGAGGTTTCCCGTTCCAAACCCAGCAGAGAAATTTTTGTCTAGCATCTTGGTGAGCACTGCGTACATGCTTGTTCCACCCTATCAATGGTCGAATTCTCCCATGGGTTATTCCACACTTATTACTAAAATTTTCGTAACAATTAATAGAGGATTCAGTTAAAACATTAATAATACACATATATAAATTATTTATCACAGATAGATGATTCACATTAGTACACATATTATCACAACATTTGCTTAATTCTAGAGGAAAATCTATTAATTTCAATTTATCATTACAATATTTAAAATACATATAAATTTGATCTCTTGTGCGCTCACCCCATATAATTTTATTTACATTACCAATATTAGGCGGAATAGTCATGGGTCTAACCCATTCAAGATTACATTCGACCTCCAATGGAAAGTGATCTGACCAGAAGACATCATACTGTATTTTTACATTTATTACTGTTCGCCATGCGGCCATAGTAGTTAAACAATGGTCAAGCCACGAACAGGTACCATGCACATCGCTAGTGTAAGTATATGATTGAAAGTCAATACCTAGTCTCTCAATGTCCGCACATAGCCAATTCTGCTCTGCGCAAAAGCTTAACATTTCATTTCCAAATAATTTGCCGGGATGAGCATTAAAATCTCGTAACACATATATAGATTCAATATTTTCATTCTCAACTATAGCAGAAATTTCGCTAAGACATTCAACAAATTCACATAAATTATCAAGCTCGTTTGTAGGCATATACACACTAAAAAATAACATAGACCGGTCCGCGACACACACTTTGATCGCAACAATACGCTCACTCACACAGGGGATCACAGACACAGAATGAAATGAATCATTTCTCCATAACAGGGCTACGCCACCGTAAGGACGGCCACCCAATAACCCACTGCTAATGTCCATCGCCGATTTACCAAAATACGAAAAGTCCTTGTTTACCAACCCCAAATCCGGTACTTCAGTTGGTAATAGCCATGTTTCTTGGAGTGCTATTATATCTACCTGCTTACTCAGTAGCCGTATGCAATCAATAGATCTTTTTAAGCTCTTACAGTTAAAACTCATAATTTTATGTGTCTTATGATTATTTTTATCCATTTTGAGTAATTAATTACTGTTCAATAATAGCAATTAAAAGAAAAATTAATTGTAAATCTATATCACAGTGTTAATTTTTTAAATAGAGAGAGAGATAAGTAATGACTTATTAATGAAATTTATATTAATTTGTAAGAAGTATAACATCAGAACTGTGATGGATTAGTCGTGCGACGGGCTTATTATTTGTTAAAAAATATACGTTTATGTGCAGTATAAAAGTTTATGAATTAACTGTGTTTGTGATAGTGAATATAATTTTTAGGTTAGTAAACATTTTTTAAACGTTTATTTGTCCTTTTTTGTATGTATCTATTAAATCTAGCTCAGATACACCGTTTCTGTAATGACATCAGTACGTGGCTCTTGGATTGATTGGAAAATCTTGTCACATTATTCCAATGTGGCTAAGCCTTGAAAAATTGTCACACCACTTGTTTGGAAACTATTGAATATTGGACTTAGTTATTTTAGTAAAAGCATGCATTGTATAATTACTGTTTTTTTTTTGAACAAACCCTTAAAGTTAGAATGTAAAAATCGATGGCAATAATGCCGTAGCAATATTTCTCCTGTGGTTGACTTTGATGTTGTTAACACGTTCACTGCGTAACAGGCCGATATCGGCCTGCCGCGGTATTTCAGCTGGTGCGGACGAAGAAATCTATGTCCCTCTCGCTGGTGCGGACGAAGAAATCTATGTCCCTCTCGCTGGTGCGTAACGATTATCTCAGGTGTTTGTAAAAATTCGACAGGGACAAATATATATTTCATCTTGCGGTCAAAATTGTAGGTGTTCCCCCATCAAAACATAACGGCAGGCTTTTATCGACCTACCACGCACTGACGCTGCTGTGCATCCACTGAGAGTTAATCTATCCTAGTGCTGTTGGGTCTAGAAAGACCTGCCACGCACTGGCGGAAATATCATTGGGGGCGCATTTTGGCCCGCCGCCGCACCTGATGAAGAATTATGATTTTACTTGCCGCAGTGAACGTGTTAATTATAACATGATCAACAGACTCGATAGAGCCTGGCGCCAAGTTCCGTTCTCAAGCCAGACTACCGAGTGTGTATATACCGCAAGCAGAACGGTTTTTTGAGGTTACAATTTTTTTTCAAATTTATTTTGTTTTTTTTATATATAATATTTTATAATAGTAGTTTATGCTTTTTATTACGCGTATTACTTTATAATTATCAATTATCTTTATAATTTCAATTTAAAATTATTAAAAATAATCATCACAAACTACCGCGACCCAGATTTTTAGATTTTAACTTTTTTATGTAAAAGCGGACGGCCAGAGACTAAATAATATAAGGATGTATGCTAATCTTATAATCTGAACAAAAACAGTTTCACTTTAATAAATTGCACCAAGTACACGTTCACAACTTTTGATTTACAAAAATACCATGGAGAAATTATCACTTTACAAAAAGATGTAAAATCAAAAAAAAGACAGACCAAATAGCTGTTATGTATTGATTATATTATTTTGATTTTTACTTGAAATTTTTTTGTGGTAAATTTAACAATTACAAACAACTTTTCAAACGTACTTGGCGTGCGTCATTCAGTGTTCAATCCCCAAATTTTTATTTAGTTTCATTTTAAAACTGAAACAATCTTTGCGGAAATTAACACAATGCCATAATTAATGCCTATATTATGTTTCAAAAGGACTGTTGCAATTACATATCCAGGCCTGTGAGACTGTAAAGCAAACAACGAAACGATAGTGGACTATGGTTGTTGTGGTCCAACATGCAGTGGTGTAGTTCCAATAGAGGTGATACGGGTTGAACTTCGTATGCTGCGTTGATCTCTGTTATTGTACTATAAATGTGACAGGGAAAAGACAGAAGACAGGGAAGAGTGGAGGAAGTTGTCCGGCGCCACTAACACGTCCTTCAGAAATGAAGTGTGCAACTGAAGAAGAAGAAGACCAGCCAACAATCAATCAGCAGAACGTAAACGTCACATAAAACATGACCCAGTTTGCAATGAATAAATATGTCATCTTATATTGATTATATTAATGTCAAGATAAAATGTACTTAAGATGGCTAAGTGGATTTAAAACAATATATAAACAATATAAATTATGAATCAACAAGAACTGGTAACGCACGGCTAAATTTTTTTAATAAATTTAAATGCAGTTTGTTTCTTGTTTATTAGGAAGTATTTTGGTGTAAATTGTGTAAGTTGTATAGGTATAGATATTCTTATGCCTACGTCATTGGAGGCAATTTCTTATTGAATTGTGGCGACGTCAAACACATTACAGCTGTCCTTTCATTGATCGTTAATAGGGCTATCCATTATATACCCATATACATTTTATTACATAAATAAGCATCGTTTGCCTGGAATGGAATTTTCTATCGAAATTGTTATCAAAAAAACGGGAAGTATAGTGTCAGACACAGAAGATTTGTTTCATCTGGAGACTCATCTGATGTTAAGTGATAGAACCGCCCATGGACACTCTCAATACCAGAGGGCTCGCGAGTGCGTTGGGAGCCTTTTGAGAATTGGTACGATCTTTTCTTGAAGGACCCTAAGTCAAATTGATTCGGAAATACTTCAGTGGGCAGCTGGTTTCACATATTGGTGGTGCGCGGCACAAACTGCAAAGGTTAAGTTATCATTGCCCATTAAGAATATTTATTATAAACTAAAGGATGTAGTAAGATTTTTAATCTTATTAATATGTCACACTTAGGTTTAGCTTAAAATGCATAATTTGCTGATTAAAGTCAAGTTTGTCGACTTAAAACACGGTGTCGAGGTAATGCACGACGCAATGAAATCAAGGTTGCTTATATTAACGATAATTACTATGTACTACTTATAATAAGATTACGTGCGAGGCTAATATATAATACCCTAATTATACATCACCACCCCAGGTAATTTGCGAGAGCTGGTGTCTCATTAATACCTTGTTAGAATGATTTGATGTTTTTAGTGTGTCGGATCTCTGAATAGCATAGATTCTAAAGTGAGTTGAATGACAAAATTAATTTTTAGGGCAAAAAAAAAATAAAACGTAGTTGTAGCAATGCACAAATAATAATTTATCGAAATACTACTAACACAGTGATGATATAAGTTTTTTTTAGAAGTGATTTCCTCTATTATTAGATATTGAGTGAATTTTTTTACCACTAATTGCAAAGTATCCAAAATACCATATAAAGCAAAACATTTTATTTTATTAAATAAAATATAATAAAACAAATTTCAATTATATTTTAAAAGCTGCTCGCAGTATTTTTAAGCCAGTTAAATCCAAACAAAATAACAACTTTTACTTTTTACAAAATTGGTATCTTAAATAAAATGAAATCAGGCTATATATGAAATAATAGTGTCACAGTGGTTGTAACCAAACTCCTTCGCAACGGCTTGATAGATTAAAAATCAAAATTATACGACTAAATGAGGCCCCATAAGAGTGGCCCACCTCATGTTTAGGACGTTTTTGTGTTTTTTTAATGATTTGGCATTAAAAAATAGATACATATACTTAACCGTTACTTTAACTTATAACAACGTTTTCCGGGTTTGCAAAATAATTGAACTAAACTATTTATTTCCGGTTCTATTTGGTTCTTGTTTGGTTAACAAAAAGTATATGGTACTTTATCAATTCAGATAAAGTTAGAAGTATAGTTTAACAGTAAAAAAACATTTAATATTGGATATTACTTATGTATCTATTGATTGAATTAATTATAAACTTGCTTTTGTTTCAGATATCTATCATAATGTCTTCGAAGGAGAAGCCAGTCTCTGAAAACTTCAAGTCAACGTAAGCTTTTTTTATACTAGCTAATACATGACACTTACTTGATGTAGATTTCAAGGAACTTGCATTTAGGTATATCCGGAATTAGGAACAAAACATTAATAATCACTAATAGTGGTAAGTGATTTGTGCGGTGCAAAGCTAAATTCTAGTCAACTTGGGTAACACTTAGCTCGTCCTCCGAATACTCTCATATAATATCCTCTCAGTATCCTAAGCCCTCTTCTCTTGACATAGAATTGTAATTGTTACAAACCTTGTAACATTTATAATCCTTCCACCAAGAACATTACGAACTAACTTTCATATTTATGCGAAATTAATAGATTACTTGATCCTGCCGTAGTAGTAGTTACTGAGTTTCGAGAGATTTATTTAGTCGATACGAATATTCATGTAGTTAAAATGAAATGAATACTTGACGAAACCTTTGGCTGTATTAACGCTTTCCTTATTTATTAGATCAAATGATTTATGCAATTCATTATATAGATGCATGTTGTTAGCTGTCGTAATTACAGTTCTTTAAACATAATATATAAAATATATATATTATTCAATAAAATTATTAGAGCATTGATTCCAAATCCTGGTGAAACGCTTTGGAAAGTCAGCTTATCATAAAACAACAATTCAATTGAGGATTAGTTCCACTTAATTTATTTAATGAAGTCTTATAATTTATATTGGTTAATTGCTAAGTAATTGTAAGTGATAAAATATCGATGGTAAATATTGATAATAAAGTTGTAAACAAATGTGTTTACGAGAAAAACATGAATTCGCAAACTACGATTCTATTGTTGTGACCAATTTCGGACTGTATTATTAACATTCAAGAATATAATTGAAGACAGTATCGATTTTATTCAGGACAAATTTACGTGTCTCTTGTACAATGTAAGACCAATTACCATTTAATCAAAATTATGAAAGCATTTATTATATTTGACTGTTCTTAAGTGTCAAACTAATTTATGGAATTATCATGACTTAATTTTCAATAGATTAAAAAAATCGTTCTAGTATACTTTCAACAATTCTCATTCTGATTCATGTAATTACCACATTATATTTACTACAAATGTATGATAAGAAATGCTGATAAAAAAGCATTATTTACTTAGATTTGCGAAATGCGAAATTTTCTTACAGTGTTTTAGATTATTTATGAATAACACATTTAATTACTAGCCTACGCATTCAATAATTTTGGCCTTGTCATTTGTACGTTATGCCATCAACAACCCCCAGGTTTTGTAGAGAATACATTTTTTAACCATCAAAGTCAGCATGGAACAATAAACAACAGCTAGCCTATTGTTATTTTTAAGACCGTCATAAACTTAAAATATATGCACATGTACGCGTACCTTAAAGCAATCGCCGTTACGTTTCTGCTGCTTTTTTAATCGTTGACGGGCCTATTGAACGTAAAACAATAATTGTGTCACTTAATTGAACCCAAGACCTCGAAAATGAATTACAAAGCAAACACGGTAATTATTAAATTATCAGAAACACCACTTCAACCTTTTGTATTGTATTTATAACAATTCAACACTGGATATAAAACAAGTTTGACACGATCTTCATGGTCTTCTCACACACACATAAGGAAAATGTAGCACATCGATACAGTATTACGATGTTTGCTTATAGAGTTTGAAGGGCTTTCGTTTTCCTTGATAAATTTCCCACTTCCGTAACGCCAGAGGAATAGGGAAGTAAAACTTTTGTTTAATCATTCAGACCGAGACTCGTGAGGGAGTGAAATAAGATATAATTATTGTTGTAAAGTAAGGTGAAGAGTGATAAAGGTGTGCGCGTTATGTAATAAATTCGTCATGAATTAGTATGTATGTAACATCCGTTTTATTTACAATATGAACACAAATTAAATTTGAATACAGCTGTTCGAACGTTCAACACACGATCTTAGGGCTCATAAGCTCTAGTCTATTCTAAGTCATAGTACCAATTTAAAATTAAGAACTTTCGTCTATGTAACAAACTACAAAGTTGCAAGGAACGAAAATAGTATCAAATAGCCACTTCTTCCTTGTGTCTCTATCCTTATGTATAATTTTCCGTCATTCCCGCGTCTGAGCTGTAAGTTTTTATTCATAATACATTCAATAACTCATTAAAAAGTGTAATTTAAACTTGTATTTCAGTGCCGACTTAACAAGCAATGTAGGATTCCAGTCGTCTCTCAGCATCGAGTCAAAGGATGCTTGTCAGGAGAAGGCATACAATCCATTCGAACATAGACAAGTGGAACATCCTACAACGTGAGTTTAAATTATCTTATTAATTAATTTCTTCTAAGAAAACACACAGAGGCGAAACTACTCTTGGTCTTGGTCCCAGATGTCGTTATCTGTTTCTTGATATTTCATGTAGGTGATACTTGTTATGTGCCTAACTGTAGGTTTTTGGGTATAAGGTACCTATGCGGAAACAGGCGCGATGTCCTCACAATGTTTTCCTTCCCCGTACGAGCGAATGTCATGTCGAATAGCCATAGAAAGACATGTACAAAGGTGCAAAATCGTGATTTAAATGAAGGATCTCCGGGCTAAAATCGCATGAGCCGCTAAACTACTGCTCTTACTTCCACTAGCTCTGTATAAAATAAAGGATTGTATTTACCATTTAGTTCCAACGTAGGTTCGACAAACTATGAAACTCTAAATTAAATGCGCAAAAAAGTCTTTATTTTGCATTTGAGGGACCGTAGCGTTCTGTACTTTGTTTAACTCATAGAAGAATCACTAAAAAGGCATTGTCACCGGAGTTTGACAAAGGCGATAGATATTTCAAATTCAACTACAATAAGTCAGCTCCTATAATAATGATGGTTAATAAATTAAAGCTTAAATGAATTTAACATATATCTGTCCTAGTTGCAAGCATTATTTTCTCTAATTAATTAATGGAATGAGCAGTGTTGGTCTAGTGGCTTCTGTGTGCGCCCCTCATTCCTGAAGTCGTAGGTTCATCCCCGACTGTGCATTATTCTTTCTATGCGCGCATTTAACATTCGCTCGAACGGTGAAGGAAATCATCGTGAGGAAACCTTACCTTAGACCCTTTTGGGTCGACTACGTGTGTCAGGTACAGGAGGCTGATCAGTGATCACCTACTTGCCTATTAGATTAACAAATGATCATGAAACAGATACAGAATTCAGAGGCCCAGGTCTAAAAGATTATATCATTTATTAATTAAAGTCTTATAATTTTACTGTAATAAATGGAATGAAATCTATCGCCTAGATGTATAATATTCTAATTAATTTAATTGTTTTCTGTGACATTAGATAATAATCTGGAACATGCCATTTATTCGTTATATAAAATTCAATACATATAAATAAGGAATATTATGTTCGCATTAGCCACCTTTCTTTAAAGTCGTCATTGAATACTATGGAATCAAAAGATAAACAAAAATACATTCTTTTTGTTACTCTTTTTAAATTATACAACGTACCGTACATGTACTTTTGTTTCAGTACATTTGGTGCCATAGCTCATATCTTGAAAGCATGCATAGGGACAGGAGTGTTGGCTATGCCTGCAGCATTCAAGAACTCAGGGCTCGTCGCAGGTGTTATAGGAACATTATTCGCTGGACTGGTCTGCACCCATACAGTACAGCTTGTGGTACGTATATGTCAGAGATTATGTATGTATATGACATCTTGCAGGCTTTAAATACTCAATGGGTCAACCGCTTCAAATATGCGTCAAAAACCTATAATAATACAATCTACATCTGAAATCATAAACAAATTGTCCTGTATAAGCAATACTATCCTTATGGGTTCACATTTAAAAGGCGTTATTGCTATTTTAAGAAAATATTTTACAAAAAAAATATAAGATAACTTATTACAAGATTAAATGAGAAGTAATAACATAATATATACATACGAAAATATAATTATATTGAGTAGCTTTTGACGCTTTAATGTATTCAGTGTTGTAGGTATTACTAAACTAAAAATATTACGATCATTATTAATTTTCAGTTCAAGTAATCAAAAATTATTACTCCAGGGGGTGCGATTATATAAACAACTGAACAAGAAAATTTAACGTCAATAAAGCTTAACTTTAAAGTCAAAAGTTACCCTAATAGAAACAACAAATAAATGCTTCTTATGCTTTTAAGGTTTCAATATCGCAAAAGGTTTGCACCGAAGCTAAAAAGCCTTCGATGAGTTTTGCGGAGACTTGCGGCGCGGCGTTCGAATTTGGACCTAAAAAACTTCGCTCATGGAGCTCCTTTGTTAAGTAAGTCGACGCCTCAAAGAATTGAAAAGGCAAAGTTATTACATGGTAGTCTTGCTCTTATATTTTCGAAGGAATAAAAGTTATAATAATAAACATTGTTCCAGGACATTGATTGATTACTCTATAGCGGTTACTTACATTAGTGTTCTATGCGTCTATGTAGTTTTCATGGGTTCATCGTTCAAAGAGGTAAGGATTATCGATAAGTATCTGTTATTCTTACATAAGATGTAGTTTCATTGATCTAGCATTACTGCGGGTCGAGAGATTCCGGGTTCGATTCTCGTGTGGGCCATTTAGATAGATCACCGAAAAAATTTAATGTGCTACCAGTAAGTTTAGAAGATTGTGGTTAAACACGTTTGTGGGGCGAATGAGTGTAAAGCTGTCAGTGTTTGCTCTGCTCTCACGATACCGCAGTTGTGTCGGACATCCGGTAAGAGTATTAAAATAGAGAGTGCACTTCCCAACGTATACACTCGTGCACTATATTTTATAGATTATATCTCCATTATTTATAATTTTAATTATAAATTAAAATTATAAATAATGGAGATAGAGTTCCGGGAGTTAGGAGTTTTTTATTGGAAATTTCCTCCTCTTTCAGAATCTTTATTTGAAATTTCTTAAATATTAATAGTTTATTAAATATTGGCAAAAAACTAAATGCCATTTTTTTTTCATCTTTAATTGTCTATAACTTTTGCACTTTTTTATGTGCTAATACACGCTTTTAGCACATTTTTCTAGACGTCATTCCGGATCCAATGAGCTATCGCACATAATTTTAAGAGCAGTATCTCTATTTTGTTCCATTTTCAACTTGTCGACTAGACTAATAAGATTATTATGTATATTAGAATAATTTGTGTTTTTATGAACAATCAATATTTTTATCAGCAATTTCAATATTGTATAAGCCAAATACGCTTTACTGTGCCTTTCTATAGTTGTGACTTTTAATTCGGCTACTGAAATGTATACACAAGCTAAGCTAGACTGAAGGTTATTTCTAAGAAAAGATTACAAACATTTATTTTCAGTTGCTAAGACACTTTCATTTTGATATCTTTATCTAGAAGCTTTTAAAATAATTTTGTTTTTGACACATCTAAGTGATTTTTACACCACTTTCTTTATTCACTATTCACACATTCCTTTATTTTTTTAGTAAAAAGCAAGAATAAAATAAGTCAAAAGTACTTTAATATAATATTATAACTCAAAACTCGTATCAAGAATGTCTACGTATATATATAATAGTATTTATTGTCCAGTGAAATACAGGAATTGCCAATTTAAAATAAATTAATTTTCCTTTCAGGTCGTCGACTTCTACTTTCCATCTGTAACGATTTCTATTCAGATGTACTGTGTTTTAACGTTAGTACCTTTAGCATTGCTATGTCAGATACGGAATCTGAAGTATCTGGTACCTTTCTCTACAATAGCTAACATCTTATTGTTAGGTGTATTTGGTATCACACTCTACTACGTCTTCTTAGACCTACCACCGATCACAGACAGAGAAATGGTAGCTAGCATTACCACCTGGCCCCTGTTTATGAGGTAATAAAAAATATAATTGCTTATAATAATATATTATTTAAGATATTACCAACTATCCTAAAATAACCTAAAGATGAAGTGAAGTTCGTCTTCTATGTATTTTTATTTATGACACTAAGGACTTTACCCATCATTTAATTTGTATCCTTCAATACAAATCTCAGTGTTCTTCTACATCTTCAGAATCATACAACACACACAACAACAAAAATAATTATGACAAAGTATATAAAAAGCTTACAGATTTTATTAGATTGTCAAAAAAATTATATATTTAATTTCAGTACCGTTATCTTCGCTATGGAAGGTATCGGTGTGGTAATGCCAGTTGAGAATGAGATGAAAAATCCTCAGCGATTCTTGGGCTGTCCTGGAGTATGGAACACATCTATGGTTATCGTAATATCTCTATTTGGAGTTGTTGGTTTCTTTGGTTACGTCCAATATGGTGATGCAGCTAAAGGCAGCGTTACCCTGAATTTGCCTGAGGATCATGTGTAAGTATTATAATCAATTTGATTTATTCCGTGTTTCTTTTCATTGAATTTTTGTTATTTTTGTATTATTGTTTCTCCTATTCTATTGTTGATTTGTTGATTGTTATTTGCCTAAAATTAAAATTTATTGAATATCATTATAGTAATTATAACTATCGAACATTGAATTGTCGGTAATTTAAATCAGATCTAGGGATATTAGCAAAAAGAGCTACTATTAACGGTTTTGAACCGATATGACTATGTAGCTATTGACATCAACTGTTATACATATAAGCTCTGTGACATATTATGACAATAACAGCTGACAGTAACGCCATTGCTCCGACATATACATATTTAGATCGCTTAATGGTTTAATAAACACAACAAGATACATATTATATACAGCTAGACTTGTTTATTTTAGTTACTTTCATATCTTAATGACTTATGGCTTATTATTATGGGGTCATGCTGCTGATGTCGAAACTATTTTCATCCTGCAGAAGAGGGCTATTCGTGCAATCTATAATTTAAAATGTAGGGAATCTCCTAGAGTTAAATTCAAGGAAATTAATATACTTACCTTTCCCTCGCAATATATTTATGAAAATATTATGTATGTATACAAAAATAGTGATAAGTTTACTACAATAGAACATACGCACAATGTTAATACTCAGAACAAACGCAGGCTGCAATTTCCCCGTACTAGACTATCTAAAGTTAGTAATTCTTTTTTGGGAAAAGGGATACTCTTCTTTAATAAAATCCCAGAGGCTATTTTATCACTTTTTACAGCCATTTAAGAAATTTATTAAAGAAAAGCTGTGTAAAAAGGCTTACTATAAAGTTAACGATTATCTAGTTGATACCCTTTTATCAACTGGGACTAGTGCTAGACAGGCTACTTATAATTAATTTGCGATAATTGTTTTAAAATAAGTGTTGTTTGATGATTTGCTATTTTAAAAGAGTACCGAGAGTTTTATACGCCGGCTTTTTCTCTCGGCCTACACCCTCTGTCTTCTTTGCCGATGAGTAGGGATGCCTACAAATTCAAATTTAATGACGTGGAATAAGTGATACATATATCTTATGTACCATAATAAACATATTTTTTTTATTTTATACTAAACTATGATATTTTATCTTAAAGTAGCATAAAATTACTTGAACTGTTAACCGTTATAACAGGAAACTAAATAAAACTGTAGAAAAAAGGTTTTTTATTTTCCAATTTTGTCAAGGAATTTTGGAGAGAAGTTATTAAACAACTCTTTGTATCTAGAGTCTTTTAAAATCCCTTTCCCAATAGCTCAGGTTTGGTTGAACACATTCCTGCGTCTGTTTCTTAGCCCGCTGATACTCATCCACAAAACATTTCCAACGAAATATGGAAGTAATTAATCTTAGAAGTCGTGTTAAATTGTTAATAGTTAGTACAGGCTTCTAAAGATATTATTAACATATTGTTTTTATACCAGGATTGCTCAAGCCACAAAAGTGCTAATGGCGGTGGTTATATTCTTCTCATTCGCTCTACAATTCTACGTGCCAATGGAGTTCATAGGTAGATTACTGAAGAGCAGACAGTCCAATAGATATGACAATATTATTCAGATTAGTATTAGAACGGTCATCGTGACTGCAGTTGGTGAGTTATTAACTTCATATAACATAAAATCTCAATTATAAATATCTGCACACTGCAACTGTTAACTGCAGGGTTAACGATTGCTGCAAAGCTCAGGTCAGCTGAGTAGTTAACAAAAGTAACATCCAAAAATCAAAAGGTATTTTCAAAAGTACCTATAATAAAAAAATTAAACTAGAGCCCGAAATATAGATACTCGAAATAAGCAATTTTTGTAAAAACGGAATTCCAAAAATACGATTTATATAACATAATGTATGCAACTATTATAATAAAATTTAAATTTAAACTAAAACATTCTTAGAAAATGTTATCGGAAAGATTGTAATAAAACTTTCAAATTAACTTTATTATGCTGGTTGAGGCTATCCATATTAATATGGGAACTATGATCGGACGTATTTTCATTTTGTGCGCTATTTGATAAATAATTCCTGACATTGCCTGTACTGTGGACTGTACATTAAAATATTGATTCATTTCAGTTGGAATCGCCGCCGCGTTCCCTAATTTGGAACTTGTGATCAGCTTCGTTGGAGCTATCTTCTTTTCATCACTCGGCCTCCTGATTCCAGCAACCATTGACACAGTTTACAATTGGGACCGTGGTTTTGGATTCCTTAAATATAGGCTGATCAAAAACATTCTTATTTGTATCATCTCCATAGTGGCATTGATTTCAGGAGCTTATGTGTCCGTTGTAGGAATGATTGAAGATTTTTCTAAGGAACCGGAACATGTTAATACCACTTTTGTTTAATTGCCATAATAACTAGACCATAATGTAGTTAAGTAATGAACAAAGTACACAAAAACTGACGATAATTTATTATTGTGATATTTTTACGTAAGTTCACAGAGTCAGTGAAGTTACTATTTAAATTATTTTGTGTTAATATCAAATTTCTGTGGTTTTGATATTACCATTATAAATATTTATTCAATACTAATAATCTTAATTATTTATTTTATTTCTTACAAATTGTTATCAGTACTTTGCCTTTAAAGTATTGCGTATTATTCAGCAAAACATGACATATATTAAAAATAGCTACCGATTTACAATATTAACAACAATTTCTATAAAATTATTCTATAGTGTCACAATTACTGGAGAATTCAATTAATGAAAATGTTATATCATGCTATTTAAATAATTTTAATTAGAGCCTCGAATGTTTGTTTGAATTATCCCAAGTAACTTTTAATTATAGATCAAACATAATTGATGAAAATTTATTTCATAAAGTTTCGAGTTTTCATATAATAGACTTTGTATCAATAAATTTTGTTCATTAACAATCGACTAGTCAGACATTTTATAATAATGTATTACCTTTTTATTTGTTCATACAATGATCATAATGTTAGTATGTAAATAAATGTGTAAATAAGTTTAATTAAATTATAAAATTATGTGTTTGTTTTAATTGAAAACTGATATATTATATGTTACGTCAAATAGCTTTGTACTAAATGGTAGGTCAGCATTATTTAAAAAAGGTATCATTTGAAGTCTTGTAAGTTTTAACAATTTAACTCAAAAAATAACATGATGAATTTTTGATTTAAAAAATAAAGAAGTGCGTGCGAACAAAGTACACATGTCAGAAGTGAAACTTCTTTGGCAAACTATTTTTTAGTCTTGTTCACATTTATACAAATCTAAACCTTTAGATTTCCAAGACTTAGAGGGAGGGGAAAAGGAAGATATGTTAGGAATTTAAAATTAATACAAATAATAAATTGAATTTTTTAAATTTATTTCTTCGATAATAAAAACACGTGGCATTTTAATTTACAATTCGTCATTTGAGATTCCAATTTTTTTAAACATATAAAATACTAATATTTCATAAATTCTCTTTACGAAATTTTAATATTAAAAATATAATTTCTATAAGGTAATTCACCTTTCTCACTCTCTCTCAATTGGTCTCACAATCTCCCTTATCTTCGACAAAAACGCTGCACATCTTCGTGACACTCAACAATTTTAACCTCATGCGCCTACAGAAGTTTCACTTAAAAATTACCATTAGAATACTACATATTCTCTGTGACATAGGCATGTACATTTATCCAAATCATAAATACAAAGAATATTTGTAAATAAATATTTTATAGATCTATCGGCTTCAGCGTGCGGCTCTAATCCTGCGGTAGAAGGCTTAATCCCCAGCTGTGTACCAATAGACTGTTCTATCTATCTAACATTTGCTACAACTGAAAAAACCGGCTAAAAATAGACGGCGTTCCCAGTCACATCGATTAAAGTCACATGAGTCAAACTGATCACGGACCTCATATGAACCGCAGCCGCCCGGTCATGCGCTACGCGTGCTGAATTCAATCTAATAAATGTAATAATAAAGCAAAATATTTTAGTACCCAAAATTTTACTGTTAGAATTATATATACATTTTTGAATTTTGAGAAAGTCCCGCACCCAACTCGATTCGTGTGTAACTATTTCCGTCTTGCTAATTATAATCTAGTAATAGATAATTATTATCTTTCATCTCGGACATGCTTCCTTTCTAATAGTGCCGGCAGTTAGAGTGAAAATTATGTTACAGAGTTACATTAACTTATATAACAAATCAATTATATACCTCGACTAGCGAACCATTCCGCTCTTCTAACGCGGCACAATACTATATTTAAAAAAATAAGTAACTATGAGTAGTCAGACCAACTGATTTGAAATGTTTGTAATTTTAGTGTTGTATTATTTATTTTTATTGCACAGGCGCTAATTAAAGATTAAAGTTGGCGCCTCATTGATAGTTCCAGTGATCCCAGAGCTGGCGCTTCTGTAACTCACTTCACGTACTCACACAGCGATTTTCGCATCGGCGGTCGCTCTCAAATCAGTCGTGAAGCAGTCATTTTATGATTTGGCATTCTGATTAACAATAAACTACAAGCTCACACTTTTTCAGAATGCCAAATCATAAAATTACTGCTTCACGACTGATTTGAGAGCGACCGCCGATGCGAAAACCGCTGTGTGAGTTCGTGAAGTGAGTTACAGAATCGCAGGGCTGAGCTGGCGCTTTCCTCGCTCATAGATTAAGTATCGCAATACAGCAAAATGCTGCTAGCAAGCAAGGCAGCAAGGACGAAGCTTTTTAATTTTTTTTAATGTTCTATTTATTCATTTTTAAGTTTCATAATTACTATGTAGGTTAAGAATATTGTAAATACTGTATATTTGTGGTTTGGAAATGAAATACATTTGTTTATTAGATTATAAAGTCTATATAACTAACAATTTAATCAACGAAGTCCGAATAAATGGGCTTCGAATCATCAAGCGAATGGATTTTGACATATTAATAATAATGTTTAGGAACAGTTTCTAAACGATTATGTCAATATCAAGTGACATATTAATTGTCAATGGTTTGAGTGAGAATATGGAGAATGTCGTAGACGTATGTATAATAAGGTATACTATTACCCAAACTAACGATAAAGCTTTATTTAATTCTATTAAATATACAGTCATACAAGATTGTCGTAAGTAATAAAATAAAATAAAGTTTATATGAGGTCGTCAGCAAAAGCCCTCAAGGAATTTCAGAAGTTTGGTTGTCCTATATTTGGCCCATCTAACACAAACCTCATTTTGACGTATCTTGTATTCCAAAAATTACATGTAATGGATTTTCAATAAATAAGAAATTAAATAAATAATATAAGATATTCATGCCACCTGATGCATTGATTCACATGAAAAAGCGAACGAAGTCGTTTTGTGAAATATTCAATTTATATCGGGCCACGATCTGTGATTTAAGAAAAAAATTGGTTGCCGTAGTAAACCATTAAGATAATAGTATTTACGGTATATTAGTATTAGTAATTACACGATAATACTTTAGATAAAATAAACATGTCACTTCCTATTCAGTTATAAGAACCGATAAAGATATCCTATATCAGATTTTGTACATTTGGCGTCGCACTATTATATTATATGTTATTTACAAGGTATTAAATAATAGTTTCATTTATTTGACCATCGTATTAAATATCGCTATTTTGTTCGTCATGTTTTACCTTCTACTATCCTATTATCTCACTTGTCTTTTCTCCTCTTCCCGCCTGGTGTTTTTCTCTTTTGTCTGATAAACACATCGCTTTAACATTTAGCATTGATTATAATTTTCAGTCACTAAACAGACCTTCCCTATTTAACTTCGACTAAATTTGTTGATTTCATATCCAGGCGTAAACTGTGTACAATTGACCAGATACGACCGCCATATGATATTTGGTATGCTAATTAGTTATTTTCTTTCATTGCCTGCCTTGGAGTTGCACCGTATAAAAACTAAACATGTTGTCAAAACCACTACTGGAAGTTACACAGTACTGGCTTGTTGCAATAAAATTAATAAATCTATCAATGGCGCTACAATCTTTTATTAGATTGGCTTGTTTCAATACCTGATGAAATATATTCTTTTGGGCTCGATAATACAGATTGGAGCGGTAACATTACATATTCATACGACTGAGTATATCTCATAAATGTAATAGGAATGTCAAAAAGGAAAAACGATCGAGGTTATAGGTGAAAGTTAAAAGACAAAGTGAATTAAGATTTCTCGAAAACGATTTTGTATGGAAAGCTATTGGTGATTATTGTTTTAATACTCTCACATATGAAGTTTGTCATTTATATTCAACAATTTCATGTCATAAATGTATTTGTAATTTCTCTTGATATCGGCAGTATAACGTTTTTATCTGCCTCGCGGTTTTAATGTTTTGTTTACTTTTCAATGCGCGATTGTTTTGACTTTTAACAAAAATTATTGATGTCTAATCAATAGCTTCTAACATTAGCGAGTTCAATAAAATACCTCTGCAATCCTTTTTTATATTAAATGATAATACTTATTATAAATTTATAGGTGCATTTCATTCCCGGCAACTCCAACCACAGTGCAAAGAAAATAGCAATTTAGTTGCCGCTAAGGTATAAAAGAATAAAATGAATATCTACAATGAAATTGCACAAACAAGTGGTATTTATAGAAACTAAGGCCGTTTGTCCACCGCCGCCGTCACCGGGACGTCACCGAGAACGAGATGACGGCGCCGATTTAGCGATACATACATTTAGGGTGGGTTGTTTCAAACCATTTGCTATCGTAACTTACGTTCGTTAAAATTTGACAGACACGTATGAACTTTAACGTCTGTTAACTTGTTAGCGTTGCTTCATTGTTAAAAAATGAGTTCGTCATTGTTAATGGGGTTGCCTGTTTGCGTAACGCTATTTTGACCTAATGTTTTATGGGAATATTTTTAGTAATAACAACATTGATAAAAACAATGTCATTTGATACATTCTGTCAAGTTTGACATCGATGTTTATTGTTGTGACTTGTGTACGAAAGGATAATTTTAAAAAGTGTTTAATTTTAATATAAATAATGGGAACCTTTTCGCCAAAGTAAGTATAAAGCTATTATTTTATTATTATATTGCATGAATTGTATATGCGCAAAGTATATATATTATATTGAAAGATATAGTTAGAAGTGTATTTATTTACGTTACTCATTGACTTTCAGAGAACGTTCGGTAAATTTTGGAAAAGAAGAGAAGGACAGATTTAGAAATTTAATAGAAAAACATAAACACATCTTATTTAATAAAAAGACAGACATTTCTAACAATTTGCAAAAAAAGAGGGCATGGAGTGCGATTCGTGCAGAATTTAATGCCCTTTCAGATAAT